TGTAGTTAGCAAAATTCAAATTTGAATGCCTAATCTTTTGCCTACTAATGCACTCCCTTCTGTTATGCTGTGTATTACAAAAGAAAATCCCTCTGGGGGATAGTACTAGATCAGTTCCAATGGTTACTACAATATAACAAGGCAAGGTACTTCTGCCACTATGGGTTTACTTATGTACTTAACCTGATTCCCACAGACCAAGGAAGGAGCCAGAGCCAAGAAACTAGAGCAGAATGTTTTTCTTCTTAAATCAGTCCATAAATTCATAGAGTATAGAGGTGTCTGCATACATCTCATCCTCATAACAACTTCATGAGATAGGCAGAAGTAATAGCTCTACTTGACAGATGGGAAGAATGGGGCCCAAGCAAGTTGCTATGAGTTGCCAAAGATGGCCTAATCAATCTGCAGGACAGCCAAAAGTAGCAACACTTAAAGTAACAGTTGTATCTCCAATCTACACTTTTTCCATCATGATGATCATGGATACCATCTTACTCAAAAGGAAGACGGCACAAGGCAGCAAGAAACTTTTTATCAAATAAAAGTTAGTAAAAAGTACAATAAGTTTCTACTTAGTATCAAACAGGAAAAACAAGAATTTTAAATAGTGATCATTTAACATCTCCCAGGACCTATTTTAAAAATTCGAATAGCTAGGAAATGAATTTGCCCAACTGATCAACTTTTAGGTGTTCTCCATCCCCAGAATCAAAGAAGGCCATGTCCCACCGACTTTTACCTTCTTTAGCACTGATAATTTGGATATTATTCTGTATCTAATGAACTAAGAGGCAGCTATGTGATTGGAAAGGTACCAGCACAAGTGTCAGAAAACTAGGTGAGGCTAGCTTTGTGATGTCAGACAAAACAACAAAGGACCATGCTGCTAGCCTCTATGGGAATTGCCTACCATTCCAGAGATTACACAGTATGCTGTTAATGGTTATGATCATTGTTGTAAGCCCAAAGGCAATGGTATAGTTAAAAAAAAAAAGTGCTAAAATGAGAGAAAACCTGGACTCAAATCTCACCTCAGCCATTTCCTAGGTTTGTGACCGTGGACAAACTTGTTCTTTGGGACCCAACTTCATGAGCTGTGATGTGATTGTGATGATCTTTGTCCCAGCTCTTAATGGCCTATTCTTTTTTTCCTTCCTTTCTGTTCTCTCTCCCACATGTAACTGATTCAAACCTGTTAAGTCCAAGAGGTCACAGCAGCCATTAAGAGCTTACAGCTTTATGGTGCGTTACAAGTTACAAAATAATTTCACTTACATTATGTGATCTTCACAAAAACTGAGTTAAGCAATAATAATATGACAGTTAACATTTATATAGCACTAGTACAAGGTACCACGCTAAGCAATTTACAATTATTATCTCATCTGATCTCCCAACAACCCTGAGAAGTAGGTTCTATTATTATTCCCACTTTACACTTGAGGAAACTGAGGCAGGGGTTAAGTGACTTGCCCAGGGTGACTCATCTAGGAAGTATCTGAGGTCAAATTTGAACTCAGGTCTTCCTGCCTCCAGATCCATTCCACTCCACACCCATCTACCTGTGTAAGGTTGTTAATAACTATCTCCATTTTATAGATAAAGAAACAGAGACTCAGAAATTGTGTCCAAATTTCATATCTAGCTAACTAATAGAACAAGGACTCAAACCTAGGTCTTCTGACTCCTAGACCAGAGCTCTCTCCACTATGCTATGTACAATATAAGCAAGAAGAGCCACAGAGCAGTGAAGAACATCCAATAAGGATGTGCAGAGGTAAAGGCAGAGTTGGGGCAGATGGCAAGTACCAGAGAATTGCCTCATTATTTGGAGAACAGCATATTAACTAATAAAATAATGCCTCTACCTCTTATGAAAAGTCTTAAGTGTAGAGCATGAACTCTTAGCATTATTAGACAAGAAAATATACATATGCAGATATATGTATGCATGAACACAGTTCCAAAAAGTAGAGGAATTAGGTTGTTTTTGGTAAGAAACAAGGCCTGATAATCATTCATGATTAACAAATATTGTACAATCTAGGGCTTCTGTGAAATTAATTTGGTGCCCCCTAGCACTTTTTCCCCTGAAATGCAGATAATGACATTCACTAGTTATGATGTAGATCATATATCCTCAGAGGGCAGAAACTATGACTTCTTGAACTATGTACCCCATATTGCTTAGAAAAGGACCCTTAATGAAGGAAGTACTTAATTTAAAATGAATTGATTCCCTTATAACTGTCACTACATGGAAATAACAGAATAAACATTTATTAAACAACTACTATGTACCAGGCACTGTGCCATAAATATTTCATTTAATCTTCACAACAACCTTGTGAGGTAGTTGCTATTTAAAGCTCAGTTTATAGTTGAGGAAACTGAGGCAAGCAGAAGCTAAAGCTAAAAGGTGAAGCCAAATCTGAAGTAAGGTTTTCCTGACTCCAAATCCAGCACTCTATCCACTGTGCCACCTAGTTGACAAGGAAGCGATTACAAAGAAGTAATGCACATTTCCTTTCAGTAATATTGACATCAGTTCAGATTAAAATGTGTTTGGAAGAAGGAACATATTTATCCATAATGAAGATTAATTTAGGGAAAGGAAAAATGGCAGTTAGTACTCATTATGCCCTGAAGATCACAGAATCCTAGGAGATGGAAGAGACATTAGGGGGCATCAAAAAGTATTATACACGCTAATAAAAACAAAAATATCACTTTCATTTTTCATGAAGACAGACACCTAACAATGATATTCCGTGTAATTAAAATGGAAAAAAAATTCAATGTTTCTATTTTTAAACAAGTCAAAGCATAATATTTTTTCTGCTAATTTGGGATTTATTTCTCCCTCAAACTACTTTTCTCATATGGTTATATAATTTTGAATCTCATGAAATGAAAAAAGTGGCATAACATGCTCTAAGATCATATAGATATGGTATATAAATGCAATGAGGCATACTGGAAGAATTGGAGTTGAGAGTTTTGAGACCTAGATTCAAGCAGGGCAACCCTAGGAAAGATACTTAATGAGGGAATTCAAATTCAGAAAGTGAGCTCCAGCTAATGTGAATGCTGTCTACATTATGGAGTTACTGAGTCAAGTGTTTCATAAAAATCTATACAGATGTCAGCTGTTATTATTATTATTAGTATTAGTATTAGTGATGGAATACATACTTGGAGATCAAGGAAGGAATCCACTTCTTATATCTGTACTTTAATTTTCTTATCAAAAGATACCATCCATGATTACATCAGCTTTTTCCTGTTTTTCCTTTGTAGGAAATACATTTCACCTCATTGTAAATGGCTCACCTTTTAGATTAAATACAATTATAACACTAAACAGCTTTTGCCTTTTTTTAAACAGATGTAATCCCACTGGATTCCGAACAAATCTGACTTCATAGTGCTTCATGACAATGTGAATTCTTGTACTAGTGAGGCAAATGCTGGAATCTCACAAGCTTGACAAGTTCATAGAATGATTATGTCAGGTTAAATTATTTCAAAGTTCAGTACCTATATGCAAAAAAACCACAATATTCATTATTCAAAAAGGGACAAAAGAATAAGGGCTTAATAGTCTATAAGGTCAACAGAGGGAGTGAGTTAAGGAAGTTTCCTCACCAGCAGTTCTATACACTATGAAATGGTCAATATATGCCAGAATAAAGAACTGAATGAAAAAACTAAATTTTATTTTTTGTTTAATATTTTATCTGGAACCTACTTTAAGCTAAAGAGATGAAAACCAAAAATGTCAACACTTACCTCCCATGTATATGATGCTTTTAAATGGTATCAATCCTACTTGGAATTGGGTGATTACTTTCCCCATCTAATGCAGGGATGGAAATTCACCGTAGGAGTTTGCAATGTTTAAGAGATATAACAGTAATACACAGAGATACAAGGGAGAGGGAGAGGGAGACAGAGAGAGAGAGATTCACAATAGATGATATATCAATGCAGAAAACATTCTGTCCTGATTTCTAAAACTTGGCCAAGAAAAACCAAGGAGGAGGAAAAAATTCAGATGTAGGAAATTCGAGATGTCTGTGTTGAGTGGAAGGTGGACAATGAGTGCCTCTGAAGCCTGGTTCACAAAGCTTAGCATCCCAAGGAGATTGGGTAGGAATGCCCAGTCTTGGTGGAAAAGATGTAAAGCTCCTATGGAAAGGTTTCCCGGCAGGTGCCCAGAAAGCCAACTGGCTGCCCTGGGCCCCCAGCCCCCTCCCTTCTTTCAGTGCAGCTGTATTCTGGATCCCGACCTCCCCAAAAGCTCAAGGCAGCTCTAACCTCCTCCCAGGCAAGTGACAAGGCTGCAATTCGCTCCATTACGATGGCACAGCAGGAAGCCTTTCGGGGAAGAGGCTGCAACTCGAACAAAGCTCACCCCTTAACCCTCCTCCCCGACCCCGAAGACTGAAAAGCGGGGGGAGGGAGCGGGGGTTTCACCCCCTTCGCAACTTCACTGGAGAAGGCTGGGATGCGGCAGCCAAAGCCCGGGCCTGGAGATCGCGGCTCGCTACAGTCCGGGCAGAAAATTCCGTGGGCCCCAGCACACGAGTGGCAGCTGTCGAGGTGTTTTTCCCTCCCCTTCCTCCTCCTCCTCCTCCCGGCCCGCACCGATGCCGGTCCCAGCCCAGGGAGGGCGCGCTCGCCGGGCCGCTGCTGCCCCTCCCGGCCATCCACTCTCCTGCAGCCCCGGCCCGGCGCCAGCGCCGGCCCCGCCCGCCTCGGCCCAAGAAGTGGCGGGGAGGAGCCAGAGCTCCTAGGCCTGGGCGCCCGTGGGCTCCCGGGGAGGCTGGGCCGCACGGGGCCAGGACCCAGCGGGGCTCCGCGACCGGCCTCCTGCGCAGGCGGCTCCTCGGCGGCCACAGGCCGGCCCGGGCCTCCGCCATTTAAAAGGCTGGCCTGGCCCGTGTGAAAGCCTGGATGAAGGCCGCGCGGCGATGTGGACGGACGCTACTCACCCAGCGGGCCAGTCAGCCCCGGGGTCCGGGGTCCGGGGTTCGGGGTCCTGGCCCGGTGCAGGCTCGCTACAGGCCGGCAGCTCCCGCCCCAGCCGGACGCGTCTCGTCCGGGACGCCGCCGCCGCCGCCGCCTCCGCGGGTCATGGAGGCGCACGCGCGCCGCGCTGTGTAGTTCCCTACTCCGCGAGCGAAGTCGCCCCCAGCCTGCGGAGCATGCTCAGTGGCCGCCTCGCGGCAGATAGGGAAGTTTGGACGGTTGTAGGCGCCGATCCTGCGCCTATCCTGCTCCGATCCACGCCGCCGCCGCTCCGCCTCCCGGTTTTAGTCCCTACCGCGGGAAGAATAGAGACCGTAGGAGGTCTGGCTTTGAGAGCCGGGAGAAGGGAGCCCCTTCCTGCGAGGCGGGAGCGGAACGGCTTTGGCCCAGCGATTTGGAGGTCATCCACCATATCCATGCAGTGCTCTAAACACAAAGAGATGCGTATGTAAATACATACATATTCACATAGATCTATCCACCACCTATGCACCATGTACACATACAATCCTATTTGGAATTGAGTGATCACTTTCCCCATCCAACTCGGGGATGGAAATCCACCCTAGGAGTGTGCAATGAGAACAGTAACAAGGCTGAACACACACATGCTTAGGAATTCACAGGAGATGATGGATCAAGGGAGAAAACATTCCGTCCTCATTTCTAAAATTTGACCAAGAAGAACCAAGGAGGGAGAAAATCCAGATGAAGGAAATTCGAGGTGTTGTGTTGGATGGAAAGTGGGCAATGAGGGCCCCTGAAGCCCGATTCACAAAGCTTGGCACCCCAGGAACAGTGGGTGTGAAAACTCAGGTCTTGGAGGCAAAGATGGGAAGATCTTATGGAAAAGTTAACAGGCAAGAGGCTGCCCTGGGCCCTCAACCCCCACCCTTCTTCTTGGAGTGCAGCTGTATTCCGGATCCCGACCTCCCTGAAAGCTCAAGGCAGCTCTAACCTCCTAGGCAAGTAGCAAAGCTGTAATCTGCCCCAGTATGTTGGCACAGAAGCATTATGTTGGCCTCTGGGGAGGAGGCTAAAACTTAAGCAAGGCTCACCCTTTACCTCCCCCCAAAGATTGCAAAGCACACATAAATGGAAACAGGTAAAATGTACACATGCAGGTAGGTATATGCACACACATACATCCATATCCATATGCCATCTCTATGGAGTGCTCTAACTACATGAGACTGGCTGGCTGAAAAATGGCCACTTAAAACCCAGGAGGCCTTTGAGTAACTAAAAGTCTGCCAGCCAAGAAGGCAAGTAATGTAGCATGAAAGTTAAGTCAGGTGAGTGTAGGCTGGGTGCAGCTTTGTGGAAGGTGACCCTTTTGCCTATATCCACAGGCATAAGGAGAGGTTTGTAGCTTTTCTCCTCCTTCCCCATCATACATGTTATCTAACCAAATAACTGCTTACCCAGTAAGAGATACCCCATCTATCAGTTCAGAAGTTAGTTGAAGGGTGAAGGGCTGATTTTCAGTTAAATCCGGGTCTATATCCCTTTCGGGGGATTTGTCCTGGCTAGACTTTCTCTCTGAAGTGGGAGGGGGGAAGGAGATAGTAAAGGGGAAGTTTGATTACCTTTTTTTCCCCTATTTCTTTGGGTTAGGGTAATCTTGTGCAAGAACAAAAACAATAACCTATGAGAATTTTGCAAAATGCTGTCTGCTTGCTGAAATCATAAAACCACCTCTGTGTGTGTATGATTTGTTATTGTTCAGTTATGTCCAGCTCTTGGTGACCCTGTGGATATCATAGCATGCCAATACTATCCATGGAATTTTCTTGGCAAAGATACTGGAAATGGCAAAATGGTTTGCCATTTCCTTCTCCAATGGATTAAGGCAAACAGAGGTTAAGTGACTTCCCCAGGATCACACAGCTAGTACTTGTCTGAGGTAGAATTTGAACTCGGGCCTTCCTGACTCCATGCCCTGACTCCTGGGCCATCTAGCTGCCTCCTAGTATATGATATCTAACATTATTTATTTTTTTTTTAAAGTTTGCAAAGTGCTTTAAATGTATTGTCTCATTTTAGGCCTCATAACTCTGTGAGCTCAGTGCCAATATTATCCTCACTTTATAGATAAGAAAACTGAGAATTAGAGATAAAGTAATTTGCCCAGAGTCACACAGCTAGTAAATGTCAGAGTTAGAAAACCTGACTTCGAATCCTGCCTCAACATTCAATGCTCTATCCATTATACCTCACTGTCTGGAAGACTGTAAATTCCCAAAATACTTAAGAACTTTGCCACATGAACTTTGGAGAGACTGTATTGTACAAGGCACTTGAAAGGATAATGTTTATCTTCCCAAATGACTAGAGAGTTATTCCAGAATTTGGGATATCAAACTTTGAAAAGCACCCTAGTTTAAACTAATTTGCTGAAGACAACAAATGTTTAACAGTGGGGAGAATATAGGAAAGGGCAGTTGATTTGACTAAATTATTCACTCTCCTCATTATGTAGTTGCCAAAAGTAAAGGTTAGATGATGAGTTTTAACTGTAAAGATACAGCTGAGCCTGGTTATCCCTTTAAGTCAACAAGTTTCTACTCTGTCGGACTGGAAAAGTAAGGTTAGGTAAGTAATCATTGTCCACGTCCCTGATGGCCCTTTAAAAGTTTAAAGCTCCCCAGTTTTGAGTCCAGGCTAAAAGCAGATCTGTGGAGAGTGACCCTTAAACCTATGCCAGAGGAGAGCATAGGAGGAGCTTTTCTTTCCACCTCTCCATTGGCCATGTTGTCTAGCAGAAGAACTGCTTGGCCTGGAGGACACACCCCCAACTTGTGTAGTTACGGAGTTTAAGAAAGTTGGGGTAGAATACCATCACCACTCCAGGTTGGTGCAGAAACCGAGAGGCAGTGACTAGAGGGAGGAAGCAATTTCAAGGAATGGATGTCTGGTGGCAAATAAAAGAGAAGGTCATGGATTCAAGGGAGAACTAGACCTGGTCATCAATGGTCAACCTGCACAAAGTACTCCATAAGCCAGAAAGGAAAGTGAGGGTCTAGAGTAACAGAGGCATACGTTAACCTTGACCACAGGCATTCCCTATATATGCACCTGTCTACTACTGTATCATCAATTTGTACTCACCTTTCCATTGGATACTCTATTTGTGGGAAGATGTTCTCCAGGATTATGCCAGTTATGTTTTTGTAACTTCTGTTCTTACAATGCTTTTTAAGTGAATGCTCTTGCTTTGAGCTAATTATTTCTACCAACTGGATGCTGATGGGGAAGTGTACTGGTAGAGGTCTCATAAACTATAGCATTAGGAGTCCAGATCCACAGGAAACCCCTTGAACCTGGCTTTAGACAAACCCCTTGGTGATCAAACCTACCATTGTGATGTTGTCTATTTTTCTCTGGGACTAACAGATCCACCAGTGAAGGGAAGAAGAGGGGAAGCAATTGGTTAGAGATCAACTGCTCCCTCAACTATGTGTATTACTTGTTGAGAAGGGAAATACAGAGCCTTAGAATCTGGAGACCTTAGTTCAGGTCCACCCACCTATACATAATAAATGTGACCCTGAGCCAGTCACTTATCTTCTCAATACCTCAGGCAATTTTCTAAAACTATAAGTTATAAAACAGTACCAATCTGCATTGATAGAGGAGGTTTTCTCACCTGGAGTTCCCTAGACCAATGAAATCACTGATCTTAATTTAAAAAAAAAAAAAAAAAGGTGTCAGCATACTAAGCATTGGTGATCAGCCAGTAACCCTTACTATCTAGCATCCAAAGATTGATTATGTACAGGATACTATGGTAAGATGACTCTACAAAATACCATAAGAATAAGCTAAGAGCTGAGACCTCATTCTGGAGACAGGTCATAAAGAGTTATAGTTAAAAAGTTGACAAGTATATATTAAGGTTCTACTATGCACTGGGTCCTAGAGAAACAAATAAAATGAATAAAATAATCTCTACTCACAAGTTGCTTACATTTGAATGGAGAAGACAAATATAAGTACAAGCATATACAAAGCAGATCTAGAGAGAATAAATACAAATAAATACAGAGTAACTGGATACAAGGTAGTTTGAAAGGGAGGGAACTAAGAGCTGAGGGATCAAGAAGGGTTCATATAGGCTTCACAGAACTGGGACTTGACCTCAGGTCCTAGGACTCCCAGGTTTATGGATGTTTCTACTGTGAACTGGCCAAAAGCAGACTGTAGGAGATAGTGGATGCTCTCTCACTAGAGATCTGCATTTGCTAGATGCCTATTTGTCAAGCATATTTTAGAAGAATCTACTTACCTGTGAACCATCACATGTTTATCTAAAAATCTCAAAGCTAAAAGGGATCTCAGTAAAGATCTAGTTGGAGAGACAAAACTAAGGTCAAGTCATTTATCCTTCTGATACTGACTTTATTACCATGGACAAGTCACTTTTTCTTTCTCAGTATTGGTCTCCTTATGTATAAAATATGAGCTGAAGTGGACTAGATGGTTTCTCGGATTACTTTCAGCTCTACAGTTATAATTCTATGATACATTTTAAAATAAGGAAACAAGGTTACTGATGTCTGGGGGCAAATAAAGGAGACGATCATGGATTCAAGGGAGAATGCATTACCTCCATCCCGGTGATATTATGAGAAAAAGGCTTTGTTAACTTTAAAGCATTATAATAATACAAGTTATTATTTAAGAGTGATGAATAATGGGTTGGCTAGGTATACAAAGGCCTAAAAATGGATCTTCTTAGGAATAATAAGGAGGTTGAAGAAGCATACACCTAAAGCTTGAAGAGACCTCAGTGGACATCTAATTCAACTGTTCACTTTACAAATGAGGAATTGAGCTACAAGGAAAGTTAAGTTTCTTACTCAAAGGTCACACAGGTAGTAATCATCAAAGGTGGTATTTGAACCCAAGTCCTCTTATTTATGAGTCAATGCTCTTTCCACTGTACCATTCAAAGAATTGCCTTAGAGTACCAGCACCATGCCAAATTAACTTTTATTGAGATATGGAGCCATTTAGGAGTGTATTCAACCAAGAAACTTCCCTGCTT